TTCCCTTCCTTCTCCAGTCAGACCAAACCTCCACACCAGTCCAAACACCACTCCACAGCCCGCCTAATACCACCAGTACTCCACTATTTCCCCATTCCACTTCTGCAAATACCAACTCCCAGACGTCCATCCATTCCCGACCAGTCAGCCCTCATGTATCTTCCACTTCGGCCACTGCCCACAGCCATGAAACTGTCACCAGCCAGTCTCCTGCCTCTCCCGAAAATATTCACCCGATGCAAACTCGGGCAAAATCAGGAATTTTCAAACCAAAGTCTATTTTTAATTTAAACACGGTTGTTATCTCAGCAGATCCCACTTGTTTTTCTGAGGCAAATAAACAGTTAAAATGGCGTCAGGCTATGGCTGAGGAATTTAATGCACTTATTGCTAACCATACTTGGGATTTGGTACCATTTTATAATTCTAAAAATATTGTTGGTTCTAAATGGATTTATAAGACAAAATATCTTTCAGATGGGTCTATTGAGCGCCATAAGGCAAGATTAGTTGCTCAGGGTTTTAATCAGCAGGCCGGTGTAGATTTTTCTGAGACATTTAGTCCTGTTATTAAGCCCACCACTGTTCGTACTGTTCTTACTTTAGCTATTTCTTTTGGGTGGGTTATGCGTAAGCTTGATGTTAAAAATGCTTTTCTTCATGGTCATCTTACAGAAGAAGTATATATGCGTCAACCGCGGGGCTTTATTCACCCTCAGTATCCTCATCACTTGTGTCGTCTTCGCAAGGCTATCTATGGCCTCAAACAGGCCCCGCGGGCATGGTTTCATAGGTTTAGTAGTTTTCTACTTACTCATAATTTTTTATGTAGTAAGTCAGATAACTCTCTCTTTATTTATCGCCACGGTACTTCTATTATTTATTTACTTCTGTATGTGGATGATATTATTATTACTGGTAATTCTTCCTCTGCTATCTCTGAGTTTATTCACCTTATTGCTGGTCACTTTTCCATGAAAGACTTGGGTGATCTTCATTATTTTCTCGGCATTCAGGCCACTCGTAGTAGTAAAGGTCTATTTCTGTCTCAGCACAAATATGTATCTGATCTTCTATCACGGTTTCACTTGCATACTGTCAAATCTGTTCGTACTCCTCTTGCGTCTCGTACTTCTTTGTCCCTCACAGATGGCGAGTTACTAGCAGATGCGACTGAGTACCGCAGTATGGTAGGTGCATTACAGTATTTAACTTTGACAAGACCTGATATTACTTATGCCGTGCATTTGGTCTCTCAGTTTATGCATGCTCCACGCACCACACATCTATTTGCTGTCAAGAGAATTTTTAGATATTTGCAGGGTACTATTGATCATGGTCTATGGCTCCAGCCTACACCTAAGGCGACTTGCATTATGGCATACTCAGACGCAGATTGGGCTGGATGTCCTGATACTTTTCGTTCCACGACTGGATATGCGGTTTTTCTGGGGCCCAATCTTGTATCTTGGAAGTCCAAAAAGCAGCCTACTGTCTCTAAATCATCTACAGAAGCTGAATATCGTGCAATTGCCTACACAGTGCAGGATACCCTTCATATTCGGTCCATCTTGTTCGAACTTGGATATCCTATTCACACACCAGTTCGTTTATTTTGCGACAACATCTCTGCTTCATACTTGACAGCAAATCCTGTTCAGCATGCTCGGAGCAAGCACATTCAGATTGACTACCACTTTGTTCGTGAACGTGTGGCTCATGGTGATCTTGTAGTTAAATATGTGCCTACTAGTCTTCAGCTGGCGGATATATTTACTAAGAGTCTCTCTAGTCAACAATTTCATTTTTTAAAAGACAACCTGCGCGTTGTGTCTCCCGCACAGTTTGAGGGGGTGTAATAGCCTAATATTAAATTAGGAATTATATGTATCTTTGGAAACTCTTTTTAGTATAAATATATCTGCCATGTACCCTATTGGGTAACCTTTCCCATTATTTCACACTTATCACCTCCCTCTTTCTCGACATGTCCACATGTAACACAACATTTTAAACCATTATGAAAAGATTCAACAAACAAATATCAAAAGATCTAATGAAATGGAAATGTAGGGGTGGGATTTTGGAACCGGGAACCGTAGAACCGATTGGAACCGAACCGTTAACAACATCTAGGAACCGAACCGTTAACAATTAATGCCTCATTTGTAGGAATCGAACCGAAGCGGGTTATAACGGTTCGGTTCCCGGTTCTTATAAAAAATATGTGCATGGAACCGTTAAGGAACCGGTATTATAAAAAATAAAAAATAAAATAATATTAGTAGTAGTAGTAACAACAACAACAACAACAACAACAACAACAACAACAATAATAATAATAATAATATAATAGCAATAATAACCACCATGCACCACAACAACAATAATAAAATAATATAAGATATTTAACTAACAATTCTAATTTAATCAACGGAAAAGAAGTAATAAATATTGTACATGAGGTTGATATAATACATTAAACTCCTTTCTACAAATCAAGTTTTGTTCCATCACATAAATTTTATAAATATAAAATAACCCAAATAACTTGTAGTTGATTGCACATATTTTACTTTACTATTTTCATGATATTTCTAATTATTAGATTTATTATGAATCAATAGAATGTAATAATGTTTTTTATATCTATACATTCAAACTCAATGTTTTTTTTATGTTTTGAACGACTTGAAGTAGGCGTCTTATTCTTGCTACTATGATGACGAGTAACCTTCATCGCTCCGACAATACAACGATTTTTAATGTTTCATTTATTACATGAAAATTTAAATCACTTTTGTTCTATTAAGTGTTCAAAGTTCATTAGTTAAGTTTGAGCTTTGATGTTTGAAGTGATTAGAGTTTCAAATAAAATTTTAATACTCGTGTTTTGAATTTTCGACGTGTTTAAAATTATGTGTTAGTTCTTAGACGAGAAAAAAGTATTCTAGGAACCGGTAAAAGGAAGAACCGAACCGTTTACTACCGGTTCGGTTCCATAACGATTCTTGATTTTTTATATAGGAATCGAACCGATTTCATTAGTTAAAACTTTTATAACGGTTCCACTCATTTTGAGTAAGAACTGAACCAGTCCCAGTCCTATGGAAATGTGACACTAAGTGTACACTCATAGATGCAAAATTGCCAGTTAAACGAAAAAAACAGTAACCTTCCCGCTAGCAGTCACACGATCCCATTATTTAGCTTGATGTATGTTTTACTCCATTGAAAAAAATAAGTGTAAAAAAAAGACTAGCAACAAAAGACTAACAACAAAACATGCACAATTCAAAACTTTGAGTGTGTCTTGTCTCGATGATATGTAATTCTTTGCTTATGCATCCCATCTTTGTCATCACCTACTAAATCTAGTACAACAACATTCAACCTAATCCACGTCAAATGTTACACGCATCGAATTACGGTCAGAAGATCTATTAGGGAAATATCAAATCTTGTCTTCTGATAAAAAATGCGTGTTTGGATAGAAATACCTATTGTATTCGAATCCTTGCTTGGATCTCACATAAAGCTCAGCCTCAAAATGCTGAAACAGAGGCATGAGTTAGATCAATGAAAATCAGTGTTCCAAACAAAACAACATACAGAGATTAAGAGCTCGTTTGGTAGCACTAAAATCAGCTATTGGGTTGATTCTACTGAAATTTATGAAGTTCTGGTTGAAGTGGCTGCATCAGCTGATTCTGCTGATTTAAGAAAAAATTATTTTAAAATATATTTTATTAATAAAATAAAGAAAAAAATATGTGTAAAAATAGCTAAAATGATCATCTACAATAACTTCAGCAAATACGTCCAGAAAAGTAACTTCAACCTTACTTTTTCTGCTTATTACACAATTCAGCGCGCGAAAGCAAAAGTTACGTGTTTGGTGAAAAAGTTGGCTGATAAGCCTGATAAGCCAAAAAACTGTGTTGCCAAACGACTTCTTAGAGATTAATCCAGCACATACCAGTAACACATATATCAAAATTCATCATCTTTGAAACTCTTGGCCTTTCTTTTAGATCTGGAAACTGTCACAATAAAATCAAGTAAAAAAATTCAAAAAAGAAAGATATTCATGCATCAAAATTCAAAATCTTACTCTGCAATGAAGATGTTGAAGCTTACCCTTTGATTATAAAAAAATACTAATAAATAAAACAACCAACAAAAAGAAAAGGATTTTAGTATATCGTTCAGGCACAACAATATTATGCTATCATATATTCATATCAACTTTTTTAGACACGACTTTTTAATAATTCAAGGTTCAAAATCTTGAAAACAACTCAATTACAGGTTTTTCTTCGGAGATCATGCATGCAATCAAGTTGATAGGAATAGGTACCAACTCTACTTTCCATATTATTAGCACCGTGTTTGATCAGAATAAACATTCGTCCACAAAAACCATGATTTTGAGATTATCTTGGTTCACTGTGGTTAAGCGAGAATGAGAATCAAGGTTTGTGTAGAACCATCATCATCTCTTTCTCTCGGATCAGGAAGCAAGGACCCAGAAAACATTTATTGGACAAATAAAAGTTCTTAGCATGACTAATCTCAATGAGAGAGTTATAACATTTATACTCCGTAATACATTTTTCTTTTTTTACAAATTACGTAGGTCTTAAATAAATTTACCTTTTTCTTACAAACTACTATTGTATAATAAAACTTACAACATTTAAACCCCATTGCCTTATTATACATACCATCAAAATAGACGTAATTTTAACTAAGTTATTTTAGTAATCTAGATATACTCGTGCATAGCACAAGTACTTCATCTAGTTCTTATATACTACCTCCGTCCCCTTTTAAATGTCCCGAATGAGGGTGGCACGAGTTACGTTTTAAAAAAGTGGGTTTGTGTGGTTGATATTAATTGATAAAGTAAGAATAAAGTAAGAATGATTTTGAGTCACACAAACTTTACCAAATAAGGTATGAGACAATTAAATAGGGACATCCCAATATGGTAAAACGGGACATTTAAAAGGGAACGGAGGGAGTACTTGATTTGTGATGAATTTCTAGAAGGTGGGGTTGATATGCCACAAATGTAACCAAGAATCTATGTAGAAGTTGTAACACATTCCTCATGGCATTTGAGACAGAGAAAGGACGAAAGTTTGTACACAATAAGCATGGCTGTCCATGGAAAACAAGAATATGAATTGCTTAATTGGTTGGGCACTATTTGGACATAAACCTTCCAACATCCATTGTTAGGAGCTCATCTATTCATCCATCATCTTAACTAAGCCATCCTAAGTGCTGCTACTACTGAGAATAAGATGGTGGAGATGGAGGGGACAAGGGATCTCCTTAGCAGCGAAATACCGCCTTCATTCATGTCGGCATTACTGTTTCCTACCCCAGGAGGGCCAAACCCATTGTTGATCCCGGTTCCTAAAGTATCTCCTGTAGGACTTGTCATCACACCAGAGTTGCTTGTGGTTGTGGACGGATTCCCAGTTGATGATGTCGCTCCACTGCACAAAATTATTATAATAGTAATTATATCATAAATACTTGTGGCATCAAAGCTTAGATTTCCAAATATACTACCTTCATTTCATACAAATGTTTATGTCCACAATTCTTCATAAAGTTTTCATAATCTTTTATTTTATATATCCAACTTTTATCAAATATGAGATTTTTTGCGATTTTATAAAACTTTTAAAGTAGTTTTTGAATATATAAATTTTATTTACTAAAACAAATCTAATTATGAACATTGATCAACAAACTTTATGGTCAGCCAAACATCTAATTACGGGACAGAGGGAATCTACTTCCTCTGTCTCTTAAAACTTTGTCAAGTTTGACCAACATGGAGACTGATAAAGTTAAAATTATGTGGTTTGTGCAGAGGAGAGAATTATTTGAAACTATAAATTCTTTGCTTATAAGAAAAAAGACTAGTGAGGCAACTAAAAAAGAAAAATACTCTTCCAAAAAAAAGAGAAAAATTGACAAGGTTTTAAAGGATAGAAGTAGTATATTAGAATTCCAACTATTTATTTACTCTTATTTGAAGAACTTCCTCTTTAAATTTTGAAATCAGACACTAAATCTTAACAATTTTCAACCACTCTGTTTACGTGTGATATAATTAAACGATATGGTTGGATCGTTCGACATGGTTGAGATTGCACCAAAAAGGGCTTGGGCCAGAAGCAATGTACTAACTTTTTTTTTGAGGAGCAATGTACTAACTAAGTTAATCAAAGTTTTTGTAAATTCTTCTTCCCGCTCTAATATTTTGATATTGAACCCTAGCCACAAACTATTACCCCTTGCACACCAACCTAATTCCACCTAACTTTTAATTTTTTATCTGTCCCAAAAAAATTACCATTTTCTATTTTTGATTTTGATAATTTGTTTCTCTTCCTACAAACCTTAACTTCACAATTTTTTTATTTTTTTATTTCTCACTTAATTTGGAGTTGGCAAAGTAGAATGAGATGAGGTTAATATTTACTTTCTGAACAAAGAGCCGGAAGGACCAATAATGCATAAGCTTTAGTGAAGGGACTGCTTTTTCTTTCCATTGAAAGAGACGTTTTACTTAAATATTTGTCCGCCCTTTCATTAAAAGAAGATTTGGATGCTTTTGAGTTTTGAGCCAATAATAACTCTCTCCATCCCAAAAACAACTTTAGAGTTTGATATTCACACAGATTAAGAAAATAAATTTGACTTTATTGTGGAGTGCACTGTGTTAAACAATGTTTAACACTGTTTGAACACTGTTTGACACTTTTTTTATGTATATAATTTGCCAAATAAAGAAAGTATTGAAGTGTGAAGTTAATTTTGAGATATCGATTTAAGGAAGTGGGGAGTTGTTTTTGCGACATCCATATAAGGAAACTGGAAAGTTGTTTTTGGGAAGTAATAATTTCACTTTATTTGAGTCCAGCCAAGTGACAATATTCAAAGGAGAAAGAGAATCTCGTCTTAGCAAACTTTATTACTCCGTATAATAAATTTATAAAATCCAACCGATTACACCATATACGTTACACGGCACTCTGGTTTCTACACATAAGAATAACGTACTGCTAATGATGTTTTTGAGCTTATCAAACTTATCAACCAACCTTTTAATCAAACACGCGATTTTTGATTTCGCGTGCTGAATTGTACTTCATACAATAATAAGAAAACATAAGGTTGGAATTGCATTTTTTACCGTATTGACTGAAGATATTGTAGATGACTATTTTTACATATGTAGTATATCTTTTTGATTATTTTATTAATAAAATATACTTCATTTTAAATATAATTTTTCATAAATTAGCAAAATTAACCAATTTAGCCACTTGAATCAAATTTCATAAATTTCAGCTAAATCAGTTTCTTATTACCAAACAGGCACTTGACGTAAATTCAATTCCACCTTTTTTTCATTTTCATTTTCATTTACCCCAGTGCCGCAAAGACTAAGGGGGGTCGGATGTACGCAGTCTTACTCCTGTACTAAAGCACAGAGAGACTGATTCCGGATGACCCGTAGTGAAAATTGTGTCCAAAATTGCATGGACTGACTGCTGCTTCATAACAAAAAAGTGCAAATAGTTTAGTGAACTATTTTGCTTTACTACATCATATTCTCAAGACAAAAAATAATGAATCTTTGGCTCCATTGCAAGTATATTGTTTCAAGACTTGAATCTTTGTTCTTGTCCGTCTATCCTATTTGCCTTTGTTGTGGTCTCATAATTAGACACGTCTCATACCATATTTTATACTACGTAGTACTTCTTTGTCCTATTTTTTTAGTTGAACACAATTATTAATATATAAATTGGTTGAGAAATTGAATTTGAGTAGAATCAAATGAAATGGCATGATGATTCTTAGATCATTTTATGTTGTTCACCTGATGCTCTAAGTCATAATAATGCTCACAAGTCATACCTTGCACTCGCAGGAAAAACACAAGTAGTTGTACCTAAATGGAAGGGCGCAAAAAAGAGATAATTAGCAACATATGTACAATGAGAACTAGTCTTCCAATAACAAAATGAAAAATATTTGGTGTATGCATTTTTCATTTTTGTGTACACTTTTGGAAAACTTTGTCTGTCTACATAGACAACTACTCTATTTCAATATGTATTGTCAGTATACAGAAAACTCTGTCTTCCAAGTCAAGGTAGATTCCTGTGGGGCACCCCCACAGTTCACTACGGCAATGCAGAGCCCCACTACTGAGCGGTGGATGGACATGAGGGACTGCACCACTTTGTGGTGCCAACAGGTTGGGCGGTTAAACCCTGAATCAAAGGGTGGTGCTGATCTCCCATAAGACCAACACTGTCTATATAAACAGACAATGTGTAGCAACAGTATACGCAAAAAGGTGTACACAACAGATTTGTGTAACAAAATAGTGACATTAATTAGTGTGAGAAGAATGGAGAGGGAGCGTACTAGGGTCAGATGAGGTGGTGGAGGCAGTGCCAGAGAAGTCACAAGTGCCTGGAGCTTGACCCTTCTTCTGGAAAAAGCTATTGACCGCGTAACTGCAATGAGCTTTCACGGTGTTGGGCTGGAAGCATGGCCCATTCTGGTGAGTGGGGTTGCAGTCTGCTCCATACCCACATGCGTAGTCCAGTGTCTTCTGTAACATACTCTCACTCATCCCTTCCTTGCACACACAATACGTTGCACCCCCTGCCACATCTTCAACAACAATAATATCATTACGATTCCAATCTTAGCTTATACACGCTATGTATCAATATTATTAGTATGCTTCCATTAAATGGAATTGACGGATTCGGCTGAATCAGCTAAAATTTACAAAATTATGACCAAAGTGACTGAATTTTGAAAGAAAAAAATTGAAATGGAGGTCATACCTAAAAAAGTGGAGGTCACTAAGCGAGCTTTAAATTTAGAAATAATGGAAATTGATGGATAAATATGTGACTTTGTATGTTTTATTGACTACATTAGTAATTTTAGTTACCACTACCAAGTGCAATCATACACTATAGTCACTTTGAAGACATAATCATTATAACTTTAGTACTACAAATGTCCTACAAGTACAATATATGCATGTTTGGTTTGAGTTTTAAAAAAATAAAGAATAAATATATTGTCTTACAGTTCTAACCCTAAAAAGTACTACCTTCGTCCCGGTGGACTTTGTCAAGTGCAAAGTGGGTGAGAAATAAGAATAGTAAAAATATGTGGTTGAGATTTGTGCGGAGGAGAAAGAAATGTGCGGAACTACAAGTTAGTTAGATACATAGAAGGGATTAATAAATACATAGTAGTAAGATAGATTCATTAGAAGTAAAGAGTGAAATGAAACATAAAGGGATAAAAGTGAGATAAAAAGTAACTAGACTTCAATTCAAGGAAACACTCCCAGTTTTTTGACAACTCAAAAAGGAAAATGTATCCAAGAAGTATGATTGAATTTTGTTTTGTTACTTGCTTATTTATTTCAAGGGTATGCATAACTACAAATTTGTAAAATGTATTTATAGATTTATTACTACCTCCGTCCCATTTATATTGGGACGGAAGAGAATGACACAGTTATTAAGAAAAGTTGGTTTGTGTGGTTCATATTAATTGATAAAGTAAGAATAAAGTAAGAATGATTTAGAGCCACACAAACTTTGTCAAATATGGTATGAGGCAATTCAAGTGGGACTCCCCGAAAAGGTAAAATGGGACAATATAAATGGGACGGAAGGAGTAGTTAGGTAAAATATGTGTAAAGCTATTTCACCTTTTACACACCTACTTTCATTTTTAGATTTGATTAAAGCTCTTAAAATTAAACAAAACGGGCAAACTTCAAAACACTGGATTCAGATTTCTTAATCACAAGTGCTCACTAAATTAAAAGCTGCAGCAAACACTACTTTAATGTGTTACGAAGATATAATTAATACTCGAGGACTTTTCTAATCAAAACTACTATGTGCATGTGATTTATTTGTATCGAAGTGATGGTTGAAAATCGAATAGAGTTTGAAGCATACTTCCTTTTTACTTCGAGAGTTCGAACATTTTTTTTTTCAAACTCTAATAGGGGTGCATGTTCAAATCCCCAAAGCAGGAATTCCAACTATATCTTTTTTTAGGGTTATTTTATGAAATAGTTTTATTTTGTGTCTAAATTATTAAATTTAACTAGTATATATTAATACCATCTTAACTATTGTCAAGGAGAAATTAACATTCATAATTCATAATTACATAAACCGTAACTGACAATGTTGAGTACGGGGAAGGTGTACCAAAAAAATTTAGGACTACCTTAAGGGCAGATGAGACAAGTAATTCAAAAGCTTACTATTGATGAAACTATGAAAGCAAGAGTATTTGTAATTAATCATTCCAGCCAAATGTTTATAAAGTACTACCCTTAAAGCTAGATTAGGGTAATTATATCCCTTCATTCCCACTTTTACATCCCAATGGCCCGCCCGAGACATTTATTCTCAGCATATGGGTGATCAATTAAACTTTTATCCATCTAGTAGGACAATTTTTTTTACAAGGATAACCTTTTTCATGTGATCCGAACGTAGGAATAAATCTAGCTTTAAAATATATACACCTTCCGTCCCGTTGGGATGTTCCCAAAAAGAAATTTCCCTTTCCCTAAATGGAAAATTATTCTACATCAAAACAGTGACAAACAGTGCAAAAAAGTGTCAAAAAGTGTCAAACAGTGTCAAAACAGGAAAATTTACCCCCTGGTAAGTTTATTTACTTAACACTACCTCCATTCTTAAATAAGGGTCTGTTTGCAACCCATTAAAAAAAATGCTTTTAACTTTTTTTTTTAAAAAGCACTTATTTTACCAAACACTACCAACTTTTACTTTCTCGGCTTCCGTGTATAATTTACTTTTTATTTTTTCTATTACACAAAAAGCACTTATTTTACCAAACACTACCAACTTTTACTACTAATCACTTTATCCCCAAAAGTGCTTTTATTTAAGCAGAAGTGGTTGCAAACAAAGCCTAAGTGCAACATGTAAAATTGTACACTATTCACATGTTCTATTTTGTTTATATTTTATTTATTGATGTATTAATATTTTTTTGAAAATTGTATTATTAAATTTGTCTCATTGTAAATTTTCAAAAACTAATTTTTTAAAATTTTATACTAATAGAGAATGATATATATTAATGGTCAAAGTTGTGAGTCGGCAAGTGTGAAATGTTGATTGTTGCACTTATTTAAGAAGTGAGGAAGTTTGTGTGTAGGTCAAACCGGAAACATCCCAACGGGACGGACGGAGTACGTTCTATGAATAAAATTTCTCATGGAAATGATAACAAAATAAGACTAGATTAGACCAGACTAAATCAAAATAAATCAAAAAATGTAGTTTCTGTAGTTTCTAAAACACAGAACAGACTAGACCAAATCAGACTGGTTTAAATAAAAACAGACTAGATTAGATTTCTGTAGTTTCTAAAACACACGGAGACCAAACATTTACCAAACCACATCAGACCAGAATTAAAAAGATCAAACCATAACATCGAATTTTAGTCCAATAAGTTTACACCCATTCTATTTCTAGAGATGGCAGAGTCTGTCAATCATATAGGGAGTGTTTGCAATTGCTTCAACTTTAAAAAAAATGATTTTTTAAAGTGATTTTGGGAAAAGTGATTAATAGTAAAAGTTGGTAGTGTTTGAAAAAAAAGTGATTCTGAAAAAGTAAAAGTTGGTAGTGTTTGGTAAAATAAGTACTTTTTGTGTAATAGAAAAAGTGAAAAGCAGTTTAAAGCACCGTTCCACCTGCTTCCAGCTTTTAGCTTTTAAGTGATTAATTTAAGCAGAAGCTGTCATTTGAAAACACTCTTTTTAGCTTTTTAAAACCAAAATCTGAAAAGCACTTTTTTTAAGCAACCGCAAACACTGCTATACTCTATGAGAAAAACTGTTTGTGAGCATTTTTTCCAGGGCCGGTCCTGGTATAGGGGCAGTCTGGGCTGCTGCCCAGGGCCCACCAGGAAAAGGGGGCCCATAGATTTTATAGTAGTTATTATATATATAAATTAATAATACTAAATACCTAAATTAATAGTACTCCGTATGGTCGTATACGGTAAGATATCAAATCTCTATTTCATAGTTCTAGATTAAGCCAAGGCCCACATGTGAGAGGAAGACTTTCGAACTCACTCACAAAAATCAAAAACTAAACATTAATACCAATCCTAACCAATTCTGGATTCAGTTCCCAAACGTTGGATCCTCAATCTTTCCGCCTCCCTGATACAAATCATATGAATCTTTTCGGTCTCTTATCAACTACACGCTTTGCTTAATTGATTCAACCGTCAGCCTTCGTTGTTCTCTGCTCTCAAATCTTAAATTCTCAATTCTCAAATTCTTAATTTTTGCCTTTTCCTCTAATCCTCTCTAGACCTCTCAAAGGATTCAACCATCAGACGAGGACGAGCACTGCCGCACGGTGCTCACAGGCATTTACTAATTATGTAAATTGACAACATTAATTTATAATTTAAATTATTTAGTATATTACTTTATGGGTTTACTTGTAGCACTAAGCCAATGGCGGATAGCTTCTGTCTTTTTCATATTTTAGCATCCTTTTTTCTCTGGGTTTACTTGTATCTAGTATATTACTTAGAAAATGGTTTTTAATTAAGGATATGAAGTTGAAATTTATTTATATCTTTAAATCTTTCCATACAATTGGCCGATTGCTATTTTGCATTTTCGCTTTTTAACCACGAGTTTTTTTGTAGGGGATCATATATGGCAAGCGTTCACCGGCACTGACATCTATAGGGCCTATTTTTTGTCTTTTGCCCCGGGCCCATAATTAGTCAGGACCGGCGCTGATTTTTTCTATTGGGTGAATAAGTTATTTTTTCTTTTTTCTTTTTTCCTGTACGTGAATAGCCTGTTCCAAACTTTGTTTTACGCGTAATTTAAAAAAGTAAAACCGTTTGACATTGTTTTGACGCGACACTGCTTGCATTGTTTTATTTAGAAATGGAGAAACTGAGGGAGAATGATAGATTATTATGCACAAAAACACAAGAAACGAAGATTTATGCATATTACAGACGAGGAAAAGTAAAACCAAATCTAAAAGGAGTGGTGGCATGCTAATTTCAGTTTAGATGAAAAAAGTAAATAATGGTGACATTCTCAGATTTATGCTTCAAATCTATTTGAAGACTTGGACTAAATAATACTCCGTAGGAGTATTCCTTATTAATATAAATATTGCTCAGTACTACTACGGAGTACTCCGTATTATTTATGGGATGTGTGTTCAGTGTTCTGTTCTGTTTTCCACTTAAATATATAGAGGAATGATTGGAATGCAGAAAGAAGGAAGTATTATTTCTTTTTACGAAAGAATCTATTATGTATACTTTTCTTTGTTCATTCCATTGTGAAAAATGATACTTCGTATATTCCATAGTATACACTATACAAGATAAAGTTGGGAAAAAAATGAAAGGGGAAAGGTTGGCGAAGAAGTACTTACCGGAGTGAGCAGCCATGGCCATAAAGAGGAATGCATACAATAAAGAAGACATTGCAGAGAGGGGAAGCTAAGAAGGGCAGCTTGGTATAAAATCAAACACCGCCAGTAAGCACTAGGCAGAAGAAAGCTTAAGACTGAGAAACAAATTCGCGTTTGGGAAAGGGAAAATGACCAAAAGCAAAAATACAAACTCGAGCAGTAGTGAATGATGTTGATAGCATTTATATGATGTGATATAGACGGGGTTGGGAGTGGACTTGTGGACCAGGCTGGTGGGTGAGTGTTTAATGCGTCACTGCTTTTGGATTTCAAATTTTTTTCATGCTCAACGGCTGTGTTTGTGTTTGGTCGGATTACTCCACAAGTTGATTAAGCAAATTTTCGATTACATACCAACAGTGTCTAAATGCAAGAAATCACTCTCGAACTTATTCAGCGCCCCTCATGTTCTATCGGGAGTAAGGATGGCAATGGGGGCTGGGACCCGTGGGGAACCGCCCCGTAGGGGAAGGATGGGGCGGGGCTTGGGGTGGGGCGAGGGCGGAGATGGGTAAAATATTTTTATGCCGTTAAAATATGGGGCGGGGGACGAGTATTGCTACACCTGTCCCGTCTCCGCCCCGTCCCCGTTATAAATATATACTCAAACACACACACACACACATATAAATAATGTGCACACATATTAAATTAAATTATTTGTAGTATATAACAAACACATATACATATAGACATACATAATTGTATACGGTTTAATCATGGTTAATGAATTAATACACATTATACTAGAATAATAATAAGCTAGTGATGATTAAAAATATTTATCATAAATGTTACTTCGTATATGAATTTTAAGAGTGAGAAAGTGAGTAAATAAATACACACACATTTATATGTAATATAATACGTAGTATGTAATTAATTGTATTATAATTGTTGAGAATTTTGAAGAAAGAATGACGAAAATAGAACTCCCAAGTTCTGATATGACAAAAATAGTAGCGAATTCTGTATGGACTGAAAAGAGACTAAAAAGGAAATGAATAGACTTAAATGCCCCTTAGCCCTAAGAAACCATTGGCTCGCCATTTTCTGAACCAGGAGATGCGCATTCTTCTTCTTCCCTGCTTTGACTTGGAGACACCTCCACCAGCAAGAGAAGCATCATCTCCGCCGCCCTCGCCTTCGCTGCCTCTCCGCCGCCGCCGCCGCCGTCGATCATGTTGCGCCTTCGGCGTTCTGCTTCTTCTCTTCTTCTCTTACTTTTCTTCTCCTTTGCTCGTACGATTGGGGATGATTGAACAACGACGGCTTGGGCTTAGTTGCGGCGGCCACACTCCAGATCTGAACTGGACGGTTAGGGTTCTGGCTAAGATCTGTTTGGATTGGGCGGTGGTGAGGCTAGTAGGCCGGCGGCAGGCGCAGTGGTGCAAAATTTGCGGCAGCATGGTGGCGGGGGAGGGCAAGGCTAGGGTGGGGTAGGGGATGCGGATGGGTGAGGCATGGGGCCGAGTGACACAGGGTGAGCCAGGGGTTGGGTCACGCAGGGGAGGGGGTTGGGGCTAGCTCTGAGGATGGCGGCGGCGGTTTGCCGATGGTGACCGTAGGTGGTGGTAGCGTTAGTCACTATTGGGTCGAGTAATGTAATTGGACGGATCAGATAACTGTAACTGTCGGTCGAGTAATTGTAACTGGGGACGGGTTGAGTAACTACAACTAAGGTTCGTGTAACAGTATGAGTCAGGTGGTCACTGTGACCGACCGTGGTGAATTTTGGTCACTAGTGAATTTTAGATTTTTGGTCACTAATGATTTTTGGTCATTGAATGAATTTTGTAATTATGTCATTGGTAACTGTAACATTGGTCACTCCACATTTGGTCACTGTGATGGGTTACTGTAGCAGGCCAGTGGGTTTGGGCTTAGTAAGGGTGTAATAGTCCCTTAAGTATTATTTAGTCTTATTTTTGGAACTTAAAAGAAAAGTCTCTTTTTTTTGTCCAAATGCTTTTAATTAGTATTATTTTAGGACAAACCCCAATTTTGAAACAACGTACATGATGATAATATGTTTACTTATATTTTTACTTTAATTGTCTTCAATTCACAAAACTTATTCAAATTGAAGAATTATTAAAATTGGTGGTATTAACTTTTAACAAACACAATACTTCTCTGTGTGTGTGTGTGTAAGTGTATCATATATCACTGTGTGCGCGTAGATATATATAGGTTTAGGATCAAATGAGAACAACGCTTAACATGAGAACGTGCGGACACCACATTTACCCCCAATGTGAAGCACAATGAGCTCGCACAATGCACTTTTTTTGTATCTAGCACAATATTTACAAAAGTGTCACCGTGATTATTTATATTAGCTTGTATTGAGCGAAGTCCAAATGTGCACTAGAATGGCTCTATTGTGTATCACATTGGATTAAATGTGAGTGTTCCCACGTTAACCATCGTTTTCATCGAAATCGCACTATATATATTTATAATAAAAGATTAAAATTATATGCAAATACGATAAATTAAACCTACACGGGGGCACCCGTGGGCACCCGTGGGGGACAATGGGGTGGGGTGGGGATGGGGCGGGTCTGGGAGTAACGGGAGATGGGGCGGGGATGGGGGGAACTTTTTAGACATGGGCCGGGGGGATGGGGGAGTGTACCCCCGCCCCGAACCCGCCCCATTGCCATCCCTAATCGGGAGACCACTAGTAATTGATCAACAATTTTATATCCTCAACAACAAGCTAACTTTCACCTTATTGATTAAGGTGATATTGATCATCAATTAAACGAGTCAACAATTGCAAGGATAAGATTTCGTTTAAGAAATGTCAAATTACCATTGAATGTCACTGATGGACAGTCTACCCGGGGGGTATCCTATCCGAGGGGTTATTGCGGGAATAACTAGAGAGAAGTCAGAGTAAATAGGAGGAGAGAGAGTTGATTTTATTAAATGAACTCGAGATGTGGAGTTGAGATGTAGATCCTGATTTACAAGGAGAAATGGACTGCTATTTATAGCAGCAATAAATGCGATGAGGGGACACGTGTCAGTAATCCAACGGCCGAAGGGTCACATCAGCCGGTTGGCACCGGCAGTGGTACGTTCACCGTATTGAATGCGGTGGGCGGATGTGACGTGGCATTAAATGCGGTGGTTGGCTGTCTCCAAAAGGAATCTTCGATGATTGAGCTAGTTCAGCCGAAGGCTCCTTGTGTAGCCGAGGGCTCCTTGCGTAGCCGAGGGCTTCATGTATGGCCGTAGGCTCAATGTGTAGCCGAAGGCTTGGTTCAGCCGAGGGCTTCCCCTGGTGCCGAGGGCATGCGAATGCCGAAGGCTCATGTCTTTGCCCGTTTTCTTCCAGCAGCTCCTTATGCCAGAGAAGGCTATCCTGTGAGTTTTGGAGCCTTCGGCCAAGGAGGCCGAAGGCACCCAGTGTGTATTCTGGGCTACTTTGAGGCTTGGGCCGTTGTATCTGGGCCTGAGTTGTTCTCTGGGCTCAATGGACTTGTGTAGGAGAAGTAGGAGTCTATGGGCCGGGGGTTCCTGGGCCATATACTCCATCAGGAGTCCCTCACTCCTTTTGCCGAAAGGTACTTGAGGGAAAAGGAGTAGACGTGTTGCTCCTTCTGGAGGCTTCATCATTTCGCTGGGTGCTTTCGCTGGAGAACTTGTCTTCTGCTGATTGCCGAAGGCTTCCCTCAGTCCCTCACATGTCGAGGGTTTTCTGAGGGCAGTATAACACCTGTACGACTGCAGAAGGCTTTCCTCAGTCCCTCACATGTCGAGGGTTTTCTGGGGAAAGCATAGGTGTATTGCCCGCATGTGTTGTGATGAGGGCCGCTTCATTTCCGCAAGTGACTTGGGAAAAAATTTTGATACTCTACCTCTGCCGAAGGGGGTGTTGAAGTATGTACCCGAGGGGTGTATCCCAGTCCCCCACTCCTTTAGGCCGAAGGCGAGTTCGGGCTGAAGGAGTTATGATGAGTTGATGAGTCCCCGAGGGGTGGCGATATTGATAAGTCGGGGGCTTACGCTGCCGCAAGCTCGTAGGCATTCGATGAAATTTGCTGGCAGAAGGGTGTGGTGAGTGATAGCCGGAGGCTACCATTCGATGGCACCCCAGTGTTGTCGAAATATAGTCGTTGTAATATAGCCGTTGGGAGAGGGGCACACGTGGCATGTTCCCGTTGGTTGAAGGTGGGCGGGTGCCACCCATTGGCTGAGGCGAAGGTTCGTAATGATGGGCTTTTCAAATCGAGGCCCAATCTTCGAGGCCCAGAGCCTATATATACCCCAAGGCCAAGCTTAGTTCGTTTGCGCATTCGATTTCTTTAGCGAAGCTCTGCCCAATTTTCTAGTGAGAGAAACTTCAGCCCTCGACCGAAATTCTCCCCTAAGGTCAGTGCATCCTCCTGCTACTCGCGTACTTAGCGTTTTCTGCTATTCCCTTAGATTTAGTGTTTAGCGCATTCATAGGAGCCTTCGGCAAAAGTTTCTCCCTGTTGAGAACATGTCTTCCGAGAGTGACTCGCAGAATATTTCGAGGGCGCCTTCGGTACAAGATGAGAGCATTTCGGATGCGGAGTCCTCGACTGGGCAGTCATCGGCTGGCGACGATGCCGCGGTAGCCGAGGAGGTGCAAAGTAATCTCCGGACTGAGCTGGAAGCGGAAGAATTCGAGCAAGTGGTTGAAGATGAAGAGCTCGCCCTCGCGCTTCAAGTAGCCGAGGAAGAGGAGGAGAAAGAACGGCTGAAGGTGACCGTTGCCGGACTCCCCCTTCGTGGTGTCGGTGAAGCTAGTAGCTCCCGGCCCCTAGATCCTGAACCCATTAGTGTCGCCACAGGGAAGCGGAAGAAAAAGACGGGGGCCGGCCCGAAGAAGAAGAAGGAGGCCGCAGTGGATGTGGGGAAACCCGTCGACATCCCCGAGGGCTATTCTTACCTGAACGTTGCTGCCCTAGCTTTGAAATCGAGGGCCCTCCAATCGGAGTACCTGACGGCTCAGTTCCTCGTCGGACCCCAGGCGCGCGTCATAGAGCCGAAGCCCGACGATATCCTCTCGCAAGCTCCCGAAGGCTGCTTTGCGGTTCACCTGCTGTCCCTGGAACTGGGCCTCCGCTTTCCCCTTCACCCCTTTCTGCTGGAGTACCTGAGGTTCGTGAAGTTGGTCCCT